AAATGGGAATCAGAGATGCATTAGTAGAATTCTCTAAAGCAGCATCTGTTTAAACTAGAAGAGGGAAATAACTGTATCCTAGTACTTCGGGGAGTGGAAATATTAAAATAGGAGTCAGCACATACGAGGCAAGAGTTACCCAAGGGAATCGGTTAATCAAAACATATTTATGGAGTGCCTGCTGCGGGCACAGGACCAAGCCTTGTCCTCCTTGCTTCTAAATCTCGCAGTATTTTTAGTAAAACTGAATTTGCTTTGTACAAAGGTGGAGAAAAGTTGGCTAAGCCATAGTGGAATTTGGACTCAGAATTGAGTTAACATCTGATACTCTAATTCTCAGAACTTGAAACCAGAAGATGGAATTTTAACAACAACAACAAAAACCAAAACCAAAACCACAAGGCGAGATGGTCTTGAAAGTTCCTTCTGGTTCTAATAGTATCCAATTCCAAGGTCTGGCTGAGTAGGTTTGCTGCCCCTTTTTTCAAAAAAAGGAGAGAATCTAAGTGCCCTGGACAAAACAGCTGGACGGCCCCTTTCTTTTTTTTTGTTGAGGTAATTGGGGTTGAGTGACTTGCCCAGGGTCACACAGCTAGTACATGTCAAGTGTCTGAGGTCACATTTGAACTCAGGTCCTCCTGCTTCCAAGGCTGTACCACCTAGCTGCCCTTTTAAGGCCCCTTTCTTTCAAAGAAAATCTCCCTCCCTGCTCCCAAGGACTTTGAAGAGAATGACCTGCTAGTGCAAAATAATGGAGGAAACTCTTGGGAAATAAATACCCGATAAGCCAAAAGGAGATGCATCTATTCAAAGATTTTTAATTGTGTTTAAGTAGTCAGCACTGGGAAGCATGCTCAGCCCTTTCAGAGTGATGGTTCTTTGTGGCCAATTATCACATAGCCATATCAGCTGAGTGTGAGGCAAGCCATGAAAGCCGTGCCCAAACCACCCGATGTGATGGTCTGGACCGAGAAAATCATCCAGATCCTTACCAACCTTCTACTTCTTCTATGTAGACAATAGCTACATTACCAGTGCTCAGTCTACAAACCAGTACTGTACAGCAGAGATAGCTAAGTGGCTTGATGGAGACAGCAGTGGGCCTGGAGGCAGGAAGATCTGAGTTCAAATTTAACCTCTAACAATTATTACTAGCTCTGTGACCTTGGGCAAGTCACTTAATCTGTTTGCCTCAGTTTCCTCAACTGTAAAATGGGGATAATAACAACACCTAACTACAGGGTTGTTCTAAGGATCAATCGAGATAATAATTGTGAAGTGTTTAACACAATGCCTGGAACATGTTATTCAATCATTCAGTCATGTCCGACTCTTCATGACCCTGTAGATCATACTGCCTGTGGGATTTTTTTTGGGCAAAGATACTGGAGTAGTTTGCCATTTCCTTCTCCAGTGGAATTAAGGCGAACAGTGACTTGACCAGGGTCACACAGCTGGTAAGTATCTGAGGTCAAATTTGAGCTCAGGTCTTCCTGACTCCAGGCCCAACATTCTATCCACTGTACCACCTAACTGCCTATGCACCTGGCACATAGTAAGTGATATGTATGTGTACACACACACACACACACACACACACACACACACACACACACACAAACTGTTGTTGTTATTATTATTGTTATTACTACACATGAAAATAGGAAAGAATTGAAACCTGGGCAGTTAGTTCAGAATTTGCTTGACCGAAAATGTAATGATCTGGATCAATCAAGTCATATCCAAAAGAACTCACAGCACCTCTTCTTTGTCCTTCCCTCCACTCTGTTCTCCCTGACAATAATAAGTATTTGAGGCAACAAAGATGAGAATCTTTCTCTAGTTTTTTTCCCACCTCCCTATCTCTATTTCTCTCCCATTCCCGTCCTTCAAAATGAGTGTCCTTGAGACACTATTTAGTAATGAATGAAAGAAAGATCTGGGCACAAACTACTGTTAATGTTATTCTTTATGACAGTTTTGATGCATGTCCAAAATGCTTCCACCAAGCAGACAATGTTCATTCCCTCCTCTAATTACCATGTATACATTTACTCATTTACATGTTATATCCTTCTAATAGAATACAAATTCCTTGAGGGCAGGAGATGCTTTTCCTTTTATCTTTGTCTATCCCTGATGGAGAATTCCTTGAACACAGGAGGTGTTTAATAAATGCGTGTTGGTTTAGATTGAACTGGAACCTTTACACATACGCTTCAGACTCACTGTAGCCAAGTATAGCCAAGTGTTGAGGTATAAAAGCAAAGACGGGGTGGGGTGGAGGAGGAGCAAGCATATAAAAACAGTCTGCAGCAAATGAATCATAAGACATACACACACCAGAGCCTGTATCCTGAGCCTTGCTCTAAGGGTTTTTACACTCTGTGGTTGACCAGCCTCCTCTTCTTCCTCCCTAAGAGACTCCCTGACCCTCATTCCAGCTTTAATTGTTTTGCCAATTTTGTATCTCTTTAGAAACAGTTTCTGAAGCCTGTACTCTTCAGAGATGTCTCCTTGGGCCCACAGGGGAGGCAAAGGCCCCCTGCCCACCACCTAGCTTCCCGTCAGAACAGCTCAAAACTCCCGGTATAACCCAACAGCCCCTCAAAAAACCCTTGCTTTACTCTGAATGATCCCATTGCTGACTACCTTGGCCTCAATCCTGTGGCCTGATTGTCACAGGTATGACTTCAGTTTTTGCCATAGCATTCTTAAGCTATAGAGCCACAGGTAAAACAGTGTTGTAAAGGAATTGAAGTCAGAGGAGATAGGCCATCTTATCATAACTCTATGTCACAGAAATGGTTATTTCTATTATTCTGAATAAATATGGTAAGTGGTACAGTGGATAGAGTGCTGGACATGGAGTCAGAAAGATCTGAATTTAAATCCAGCTACAGAAACTTCTGTGTGACCCTTGTCATGTCAATTCACCTTTGTCTGCCTTGGTTTCTCCATCTGTAAAATGGAGATAATGATAGCATCTACCCAACAAGGTTGTTGTGAGGATAGAATGAGATATCCATAAAGTTTTTTGCTTTTAAATTGCTACATAAATGCTTGCTGTCTACTAATTGGTTTGTTGTGTTCACTTACAAATTTTTATCATGAGGCTTTCCTAACAGCCACAAGGCAAGTTCCCTGCTTCTTTTTTGCACTGCTTGTTTAATGAGTAAAATGTTTGATCCATCCAACTGTCACCATGGGTAGTTTGGGCATGGATCTTGTGGTTTGCTGGAATTGAAGCAGCATCCAGGCAACAGACTGAAACCCTGACCTAGGACACTTGCCTCTTAAATTGATCCTCACGGAGAGCCAACAAGAGAGTTTGGAAGGATGACAGAAATCCATCACACCTCCTCCGAAAACAAAGTAGAGCCTGTGCCCTCCCTGCAATGAATCAGCAGCTCCATGCTGCATGAGGACTTGTTAGCACATCTGATTCTCCTTTGTACATATACTATTGATCTATTTACGGGTGGTGATCTATTTATATAGGCTCATATTTATCAAAATCTTCTCACCCTGAACTGAAGAGAAAAGTTTTGTGAGCAATTATACCATGGGTAAATGTTTCCTTTAACCTCCATGGTTGGGGCCTGTGTTCCAAAAGAAGAAAAAACTCTTTTCCCCTTTGACATCACTGGTGTCCATTTATACATCTCCAGTCCTTTAGGACTAAGTATCTGAGAAACAACATAGCCCAGTGTCCGCAGTGCAAGACTCAGAGTCAGAAAGACTTAGGTTCAAATGCTACCTCTGCCTCTAATTGGCATTGTGACCATGGGCAAGTCGCTCTGCCTCTCTGAAACTCAGTTTCTTCATCTAAAAAATGGGAGTAATTGGCAGAAAGAATACCTATGATATTCTATCTCATGGGGTTGTCACAAGGCTCAAATGAGGTAATGTGTGCAAATTGCTTAGCAAACTTAAAAGCTCTCTATAAATGTACAGTATTAGCCATGTCTTCGCAGCCACCTACTTTAAGATACTTTGATCCCAAATGTTCATAAATATGAGTTTTATGCAGCAGTGTACTGAAGAGATTTGGAAACAGGAAGTATGAAATGAAATGCTTCCTGGTAGTTGGTTAACATAAAATAGAATTACCCTCATGTCTGGTACACAACAAAAGTATGCAGTCCAAGTGTCAGGGCTAGAGTAAGGTATGTGGTCTGGACAAAATTGAATGGCCCACCTGACTTCAGACCAGCCCACATAGTTAAGACTCTTACCACTAGAGTCAGTGGATACTGGCCTTCTGAAGATCTGGGCATTTTAAGTGGGTTTGATGGACCCAGTAAACATTATGAGGTACTGGATTTTTAGGAGAGGGAAAAGAAGAGTTGGGAAAATGAGGAGAAAGAAAAGGTCCTCCTTCCCCAATCAGGCTTACAGCTATTCTATCTACTATAGAATCCTACTATGTATTCAGTCTGGGACTATATAAAATGATACAAAGCCAACAGACCGTGGTGTATCTAGTGTCATGATTAGTACGCAGCTGTTTTCACGCTCAACTCAGCCTTAACCAGCTCCATCAAGTGTGAAGATGTCTGAGACGATTATTTTGGATGATTGTGGCAGAGACTGAGTTTTCCATCTGATATTTCACTTTTAGGCAATGGGGGAAAATCATGCAACCAATTAAGCCCTGCTTAAGTTCCTCCTTCGTAATTCTTTAATAATGAAAGCAGACAGAACATGTGATTTTTGTCATTACTGTGCAGGCGATGTTTGCTGAAGAACAGGCTTCTGTTTGTGCATATCTTTTAACATTATCACAGTTTATTTTATGACTCATATACTGTAAAGCCTTTTTCCAGTCTCCTCACCTTTGAACCATAGAATATCTTTCACAAAAGTTATCGAAAAAAAATATAATTTCTTCAAATGAATGGAAATAAGATAATTTTAGATAAGTCCTAGAAGAGATTTTCAGAATAACAGTAACATATTTAAAACAGTAATAAAACAAAACAAAAACAGATGTGGAATTAAAAACAACAGATCTTTCTTTTTTCTCTCATTTATTTTCTCTGTGTAAAACCACTCCTTCCCCTGCAAAATTGTATTTTTGTTGTTGCTGTTCCAGACCTGTGTAGAAACTCCCTCCACCAAAGCAGATTGGGCAACTCAACTATAACTGATGCTCTTGTGTAACTTGCAGCTTTAGTGAGCTGCCCAGGACCCTGAAAGATGAAAAGATTTTCCTAGGGTTATACTCGAGTATATGGCAGAAAAAGAACTGGAACCCAAGTCTTCCTGACTCCAAGGCTGTCCCTCTATTCACTCCATCTTGTCACCACTGAGGAAATTGTCTTATTTAAAGTCATATAACCATATAGAACCTGGACCTAAGATTAGGCTAGAGCAGTGGTGTCAAACTCAAATAGAAATAGGGGCAGGGGGTGGAGTAAC